GATGACAGACCCACCTCTCCTGATAGGTAGCTGTTGCTGTCAGGTACCATCACAACTCAGTGACCCTGTGAACAGATTGGAAACATACCCTGTTCTGTCCCATTCTCACAATCTGTCACACTGGATCCCCTTGTTACAGTCATTGTCAATCCATCTCATTGGGGTCATCCTCTCTTGCTGACCTCCACCTCTCCAAGCATGTCTTCTTTTCAAGGACTGGCCCCTCATGGTAGCATGCCTAAACTATGTGAGATGAAGTTTCATTTTGCTTGTCTCTAAGGAGCCCCCTAGATTCAAAACCTTTTGCCAACACCTCAATTCAAAGGCATCAATTCAGGGGAGCTCTGGTGGCCTAGTGGCAAGGAGCTGCAACTACAATCCCAGAGGCGCACGGTTCAAATCCACCAGATGCTGGAGAAGGAGGGGCACTCTCCTCCCGTACCAGATCTGATTTGACGGTACACTCACACAAAAATAATAAAAAAAATTAAAAAGCATCAATTCTTCAGTTATCCTTAGTCATTGTTCAACTGTCAGATATACAGGAAGCAATTAAAAAGACCATGACTTGACACGCATGTAGAAACAGCCTCTATCAAATCTGTGTGTGCGTGTACGTATAAGTGTAGTCCTATTCACCATCCCACTTCTGTTCAACGTGAGAGTAAATCTATTTATCTAGTCATAGATTATTTTTATCACTATTGTTGCAGCATTGGGTAAACATAGTGTTTACTTTTTGGTGTCTTTAACTCTTGTGCTTTTTCTAATTCATTAACAACAACTATAGACAGCACCCCATTTTATTTATGAATCTGAAAGAAACCTGGGTTGGGTTTTTATCCCCACTCCTGCTTTAAGTCTTGTGAAATGAGTGGTAAATCAAAGACAGAATTATTGATCATTTTCTCTTCACCCTGAAACCCACAGCGTCCCTTTTCAGTAGGAAGTAGCTAAGAGAATACGCCGTCCCCTTTTCCTTATGACTCAGGGTGAAGTCTCTCTCAGGGAGGAGTGATAGGGAATGGCAAAGGACACACTGACGAAGATTAATCAGAACTGGCTTTGACAAGCACTGTGGCATTTGGACAAGAACAAACTGGGAGGAGGGTAGAGAGAATAGTGCAACAATGAATGAATGGAAACCCAAAATCTCTGTAAATGTTTTATGAAAATAAAATATAATTATAGAAAGAAAAAAAAAGAATTATTGATCATTTTCTGAGCATTTGTGGCTGGCTGTATCTCTACTGGGACAAGTATACCTACAGGTGTGTTTGCTTAAAAAAATAAAATTGTCAATGAATTGTACATGTAAATAAATGATCTTAAAATAAAAAAAGACCATGGCTTGGCTCAGGTTTACTTGAACCTTTAAAGTGGTATCAATCCTCTTTGGAGAGATGCTTGACAGCAAATTTTCCCAATGTAACATGTCTTTTGATTTCTTGACTGATGTTCCCATGGGTGTTGTGAATCCAAATAAAATGAAATCTTTGACAACTTCACTGTTTTCTCTATTATAAGGAAGCTCTAGGTGCTCTCGTGGGTAGAGAGTTTTGCTGCCAACTCCAAGACAGGAAGTTAGAGCCACCAGCAGCTTCTTGGAAGATGAGCAATTTCCTCCTGTGTAGTTTACAGCCTCTGAAAACCTGCTGGAGGGTTAGCTGTGAGTTTGTTCTGACAATGAACAGGAACAGCTTATCTGGATTGGTCCAGTGGTGAGGAATATTGGGTATTTAGTTGTTGTTTTGGGAGATTTTTGAAATGTAATACAAATTAAGGTTGTAGTCTTTTATCTTCTGCAGCAGTGTTTCAAATCTTCACTTTTGCAAAGTTGTGTCACCTAGACAGCACAGACTTAAAAGGCTTCCTCCAATCCTGACACCACATTGTTCTTCATATAATCCAGTTCCTCAAATTATTTGCTTAGCATACAGATTGGATATGGAGCAAGGATACAGCCCTGCCCTATACTTAACCTTGATTTTAGCCATGCATTGTTCCTTTGCTCTATTAGGTTAAGAGCTTCTTGGTCTAAGTATAGGTTTTGCTTGAGCACAATTAAGTGTTCTGAGATTCCCATTCTTCTCAGTATCAGCCATAATTTGTTATAGTTCATATAATCAGTGTGACAAGGGGGCTGACTGGTTAAGGCACTGGATGGCTACAGTCCACACAATCAAGTGTCTCTGCATAGTTAATAAAACACAACTAAACACCCTTCTGGTATTCTCTGCTTTCAGCGAGGGCCCTTCTGACATCAGCAATGATATATTCCTTGTTCTGTGGCCTCTTCTGAATTCAGCTTGAATTTCTGGAGTTCCTTGTCAATGCACTCACTGTTCTAGCCAGTTCTTAGTCATTTTCAGCAAAATTTTATTTGAATGTGCTATCATTGTTAGTAATTTCTATATTCTGTAGGATCACATATTTTTTTTTTTTTTAATGGGAGCAAACATGGCCAGGTAGCAGTCTTCCAAATTTCTTGCCCTAGGCTAGAGAGCACACCCAGAACAGTAAGACCTGCTAAGTGATAGCAGTTGGAAGAACAAGAGTGACCTGTTAACACAAGAACCTGACATCTGGTAAAGCTACAGCCCAACAAATATCTTGGCTAACTCCTCTTCTCTAGGGAGGGGTGGGAAGGCAAAGAGGAAGTTAGGAGAACTTTCTAAATCTAGGCATTGAATCTGCTTGATCATGTGAACTGTCAGTGCCACACATATTGTGTGGGCCTTATTTTATCCTTCTGGCAGTTTTTATGCTATACTGTTGAAATGGAATTTTAATTGTTGTCCTATCTTTGGAAGACAATGTGAAAGGTAACAAGCATGTGAAGGAAGTGTCTTTCATCCTTCCTGTTACAGGAAGGTCACAAAATGAAGCACTGGCCTCCTGGAGCCATGCCAAGCCCTGCCTGAATCCCTTACCTATGAAATTGTGAGCTGTAATACAACAGTAATAAGTTTTAGTATAATTTTTAATGTGTCCAAAGGAACTGAACATGATCTATCCCCTGCCAAGTGTTTTATCACCTGTACTTCGAACAGTAGTTTTGCCTTTTCCATAGCTAGTGCTCAGGGAGTTAGGACAACCCTCTCACGTTAGAGCCTCCTTTCACTGTTAGCTGACTCTGCCTGTGACATTTAATTACATGTCATGGTACTAACCCTGTTTCATTGAAGGTTAAGAGTAGCTGGAGTAATTCTTCACTTTTGAAACTGAAAACATTTCTTCACTTTGAAAACATTCAGTCAAAAGACATTTATCAAGTCAGTTAACAGCAAGTAAAATTCAGTTAAACAACTTTTTTTTTTTTGATGGTGTGAAATTATGATGTAGTAGTCTTTTTAACATTGTGTTGCTGTTGTTAGGTGCAGCTGAGTCGAGTACTCATAGTGACCCTAAGGATCTGAACCCTGTGCACACCCATGTTTATTGCTGCTTTGTTCACAATAGCAAAGAGTTGGAAACAAGCCAAGTGCCCATCAACAAATGAATGGATAGAGAAGCTGTGGTATATTCACACAATGGAATACTATGCAGCACTGAAAAACAAAGGACTCATGAAATATACAAAATGGGTGACCACAGGAAAAGGGGATAAATATTGTACATGGCATTGAAACAGACAAGGGAGAGAACTGTATCAAAGCGAAACAGACAAGGGAGAGAACTGTATAAAAGCATTGAAACAGACGAGGGAGAGAACTGTATAAAAGGAATATATGATTTGGTATTACCGGCATGATAAGAATCCAGCATAAGAGGTGTATAGTAAAGTGGATCTCTCACACACACACACACTGACGACGGGGGACGGGACTGTATAACAATGCAAGAATTTTTTTCCCCAAAGAAAAAAGCAAGCTGGGAGATGGGGTGGCAGAGAGGAAAATGTGCAACGATGAATGAAGGGAAATCCAAGTTCTCTATAAATTTTCAGTTAAAAAAATTTTTCAAATAAAAAAAGAATCTGAATCCTGTTCTATTCTGCACCATTCTCATACTTCCTGACACACAAGAGACCATTGCAGCAGTCATCATTACAATCCACCTGGTTAAGGATCTTTCCTTTCCTTTGCCAACCCTCCAGTCTTCCTAACATGTCCTTCCGCAAGGAAAAGGACCTCCTAGCAATCAATGTGTTTAAAGTAAGTGAGGTGAAGCCTCATCATTCTTGCCTCCAAAGAGCACTCTGGATGCACCTTCTCCAAGATATATCTATTTGTTCTCTTGGCCATGCATGGGATGTTCTGTGCCCTTCTCCAACACCACAGCTCAAAGGTGTCAATTCTTCTGTCATCCCCATTCACTGTACAGCTCTAGGTGCATAGCAAGTGACTGGAGAGACCATGGCCTGAATCAGATACACCTTAGTCCTCAAACTGACATCATTACTCCTCAATAATTTAGAGATGTCCCTAACTGCAGATTTTCCCAGTCCAATGCATCTCCTTATTTCCTAACTGCTGGTACCAAGGGTGTTAACTGTGGATCCAACCAAGATGAAGTTGTTAGCACGTTAGTTACACATTTAATAAGCAGATCTTTATAGCTCACTCACAACTTTCTGGATCTAACCTTGCAGCAGATGACAGGGCAATTCTTGTCCACCACATCATCCCTCTGTGCATGCACGCATACAAAACTACGTTATTAGTCACAATACTATACCTGTATTTTTAAAAAAGTCCTTTGTACACATTAGCAGACTTTATACTTGATCTCTTAAGTCAATTTTCTTTAATAATCAAAAGTTGAAAATGGTTCTTTTCTTTATTCCCCTTCAGTTTTAAGTTTTAATAGATCTTCTGTAGGCTCAACAACTTTCACTCCACAGACCATATGATTTGAGGCTCTCAAATCAACTTTTTCCAAGCAAAAATTCTCTGTGTAAACAGAGCCAGTGTACTTTATGTGATGGTATTAATTTTCAAAACATTCCTAGTAAATAAATAAAGGGGTGATATAAAATACTGCTTCCTTGGTGAATCTTAATTGCGAAATTTCTTCTTCTTTCGAAATCTCTTTCCTGCTGCATTTGCGGCTTTCTCAGACATGATCTCCAAGTATTTCCTACGATTAAATCTGAAAAACAAGAAACACACAATCTTTGAGCTCTAAAGAATGATACATTAGACACTAGGAAAAAACCTCGTTGGGTGCTTTTCAGTTTTGGTATTTTTTATATTTTCATTGTCTATTTCATCATATACGGTATCACTGCTACCACACTGGGAATGGGAGTGGTGGACAAGTCCCAGCCCTGTGCAGCTTGAAGTTCAGTGGGAAAACTATTGCCACTATGATGAGAGGATTTCCAAACACTTTCATCCTTTGGAGGGTCCTTTATTATATATATCCACCAAACAGCAGAGCTACCAGATCTAGCTGTTTCTTCTTTTTGGCTCTGGCTGTTGGCGCAGAATGCGCCTTATTTATGGTATTCTTTCCCCTTGACTTCCAGGACACTGTGACCTCCTAGTTGTTATTGGTAATTTTCCCCCAGCCAATTCTCCTCTACTCTGTCCACTACCTATTTTCAAAGTTCCCTCTAAAGCAGTAAGACTGATTGAAATATATTATTGAAATTGAAATAACTGAAATTATGCAGGAACTGGATATCAAGTCACTAGCATATTTCAGGGTAGCTCTAACAAAGTGTATGTAAAGAAATGGAAAACAAAAACTTATCTTTCTACGCTAATTATAGAACTTCAACTGAGAGTGCTTCTGCCTCCCAGAGGCCATTTGGAGATATCTGAAGATATTTGTGACGGGAGGTGTTTGCTATTTGCATATGAAGACCAAGGACACAAATATACTACAATGCACAGGACAATCTCCCCTATCAAAGAACTTATTTGATCCAAAATGTCAATAACTGAGACAGTGCTGAGAAATAATGCCACCAAGCAATTACAATTATCTGAAATTTTAAAAGTGTGCATATGTTTAAGCAACATATTATATATTAGAAAAATTAATTTCTTACTTTCTGAACTCAGAATCAGCCAGCAGTTCTTCCACAATAGTTCTTTTCCGTTCCTTCTTGGGAATTCTTGAATGGTAGAAATCAGCTGGATTATCAACAATGGTTCCAATCTAGGAACAAATGATTGAAATAAATTATTCAGTACCTGAATGTCAAGTCACTGGCATATGTCAGGGTAGCTCTAACAAAGTGTATGTAATGAAATGAAAAACAAAAACTTACCTTTCTATCACTATTAAATTTCATTTTTCAGGGTTTTTACATTATATTTACAAACTACAACCAAATATACAAGACAAAGAAATCACCTACTCAGCCAACACACTGGTTCTACTAGAGTATGCAGTAAACCCAAGATTCCTTTTTCTACAGTAGTGATGAATAGCACAGAAAATTCTCTTCCTCCCTCAGAGTGCTGCTACTCCCTACCATAAATACAGCTAATCTAGGAGCAATAACCCAGGCCATCAGAATTCCCTAAAATTTAGGAAATACCTGCTATTTCTGAGGCGCTGTGCCAAGTATTGGGAAAAGAACAACTGATAGGTAACAAAAAATTAACCCCGGCACAACATAATGTATACCAAATAAAGCACCACAGATGCTTAGAAGAAACCAACTCTACCTAAGAGAAGCAGGAAGTTTCACTACTTAGCTTGAATTTAGATGGGTGAAATTTCACTAAGGAATATGGTGCCTAGGGAGAGCCATGCATATGCAAAGGAAGAATGCAAAGAATGGTATGGCCATGTTGTAAGAAGCCAAATAGCTCTCAGCATGTTGGTGCTTCAGAAGGCTATAGAAGAGCTGGGCTAGTGACCTGGGCTTGGAGCCAACTGTGAACACAGGATCATATTAAGGGGTATCCACTCAATGCTGCAGATCATAAATAATCACTGAAGATTTCTGATCAGAGGTATAATGTGAACAAATATTTGAAGAGCAAAGGACTAATACAGACATTCAATTAAGAGACAAGAACAACAGACACCAGAATGACATGAATTTGGAAGCTATTAGAGGGTGTATCCACTGAGTTATCACCTCAAAACTCTAAAAACCAACTTTTAAGCTGTTCCCAGAATCTGCCTGGAGATGCTCAATACTTTGAAAAGGGGAAAGGACTGGTGCAAAGTACTCTTCTTGTCTTCTCGATCATGGATTATTACTCCTGTTGTTGTTGTTGTTATGTGCCGTCGAGTCGCTTGCGACTCATAGCAACCCTAGGTACAACAGCCCTAAACTCTGCTCTGTCCTGTGCCAATCGCACTGTCTCTGACTCTCCCATCCCAATTATCCCAGTCACTGAATCAATCCACCTCATAGAGGGCCTGCCCCTCCTGCGCTGTCCCTCCACCCTCCCAAGCATGATGTCCTTCTCCAAGGACCGGTCTCTCCTCACAACATGTCCAAAGTATGTTAGATGGAGCCTCAGAATCCTTGCCTCCAAGGAGCCACTCGGTTTAACCCTTTCCAGGACGAATCTGTTTGTCTTCCTAGCAGTCCATGGTATTCTCAATACTCTTCTCCAGCACCACAGCTCAAAGGCGTTAATTCTCCTTCATCCTCCCTAGTCATTGTCCAACTCTCTGATGCATAACAAGTGATTGTGAAGACCATGGCCTGTATCAAACATACCTTAGTCTCCAGAGAGACACCATTGCTCTTCAGTACTTTGGAGAGGTCCCTAACAGCAGACTTTCCCATGGCAATGTGCCTTTTAATTTCCTGGCTACTGGTGCCAAGAGTGTTGACTGTGGAGCCAAGCAATCCTAGACTAGCTTTATTATTATTGTACAAATTACATTATTGGTTCAGCAAGTTTTAGAGACCACCCCAATTACCATTGAGAATATGGTCCTTCTATGTGGAAACTCATTATAATAACTTGTTGGCTGTCTGAACTGATTTCACTAGCAATTATCTTTTGGCCTAAGCACAAAATATCCACACACTGTATACACTATAAATACACTTATCTAGCTGAGTAACAAAAAGATCAATATAATGCTTTCCAAGGTGGAAGACAGCATTCATTCCTTTGCTTCATACCTGGAAGTACTTGGGGAAACCATCTCTATCATTTTTCTTATAAAACCGTTTGGGGTCCATGCTAGCTCTCATCTTCAGCGCTTTCAGATCATTTTTCAGTTCATCAGTCAGTTCTGGCGCTTTCATACCAAACCAGCCACTGCCTGCTGTTTTCTGTCGTTCTTCCTGAAATTCAGAGTTCAAAAACCAACATTCAGAATCTACTAAGAATATAAAATTAGACCTAACTTCCCCAAAACTTATGCATCTAGACAATTTTGTGAATTAAAAACAAGTAAGATAATACTTTACAGAAATTATTTATTTCCAGATTTGTTATTCACAAGAATTAAATCCATTTACAAAAAGAAAAGTGGCTTTTCCAGTAAATCAGGTGTAGCATTATCAGATTCCTATAAGAAGGTTTCTTAACATTTATTTTTTTATCTAAGCAAGAAACTGTTAGAAGAAAAACACCACTGTTTCAACGTCTAAAAGAGCCGATCTAATAGACAATGGATAAACCATTTTCACCACTGTGTTTACATGTTAGCATGAATACTTTTATTCAGTTACCTAGGTGTCTCAAAAGAGCCACTCATTACAAAAGTGCAAAAATCTGTATTATTTCTAAAGTAAAACAGAGCTTGCTACTCTTTTAGGAGCTCATAAAAAAAGTTATTTCTCTTTTGGTTCATAAATGAGTATTTGCTATGTGGGAGGTAGTATACTCTCTCATTGTCACTGAGTAGGAACTGACTCATAGTTGACCCTCCAGTGGGTTTTAGAGGCTGTAAATTGCACAAGAGACTGTCCATCTTTCTCTCAAGGAGCAGACAGTGGGTTTGAACAATGCAAGTCCTTAAGTAGTATGCTACCAGAACTCAGGTCATATACACGTGCTCAGTATTAGCTGGTACAATGATTTTTATATGTTACTAAGAATATGGGTTCCATCCTTTTCTGGGACAAATGAAACAAAAATTTTAGGTAACTATATTACCAAGTTCTCTACATACAATGAATAGGTACCGTTCAGTCAAGAATTGTGGATGGTGTGCCTATATGCTGCCTACTGGCTTTCACTGCTTCAAGGCTGATTCTGACTTGTGTCATTTTGGATGCAAAGATGTGAAAATAGAAAATGTTTATGAAACTATGTTTGCTCCTTAGTAACTGTGATATTTTTCAGTATACACACACATATAACTGAAAGTATAGTTAAACACATTTAAGCAATTCTACAGCATCAAAGTCACTGTACTTACCCTTCTTTTTTTCCGAAGCTGAAACTTTGATTCTCTATATGGTGGGACACTGTAGTTTTTTTCAAAATCAGGTGTAATGATGGTTTTCTTCAGAAGCTATTAAAATAATCAACTGGTTTTAAAATAACGTCAGAATGTTATATTCCAGATATCCTAACTTGCTTTATGTAGCAAACATTACTGCAAATTGTCTTATCCTTAAATTTAAAAATTATAATCACATTTTAAAAGTTTCAGGAGGCAAATGAAGTATTATTTTAGAGAATCTACACTCAAGAATATGCCCATCTCAAATCACTTTGTCTTGTCTGCATTGGTACAACTGGATTTACTTTGTGTCCATTTGTATTACTATTTGCAAATGGCATGTGCACCAAACAGGGAAATAAAGTTAATAAAATGTCCTAACAGCCCATGAAATCCCTAAAACACACACACACACACACACACACACACCCAAGAAAAACCCAAGAGAATTGAAAATAGCTATAGAATAGTTTAAGATTTTATTCGTATAGCACAAACCCCCCAATTCAAGTAAATTACTGTTTTTATTAATCGTTGTTATGTACTGTTCAGTCAATTATGACTCATAGCTGCCCTATGAACAACAGATGTTCATAGGGCAGCCTTATCTTGTGCCATCCTCATGATCTATCTTTGATACCCTTAAGCACAATCATTACAATCTCTGTGTTGGTGTATCTTGTTGAGGAACTTCCTCTTACATTGACCCTCTTCTTTCCTAGACATGATGTCCTTCCTCAAGAACTGGCCCCCTTAATAATGTGCCCAAAGTTCATGACATGAAGCTTCACCAACCTTGCCTCTAAGGAATAGCCTGGTTACACTTTCTCCAAAACGTATTTGTCCATGGAGATGATTGCCCACCTTTCTGGTGGATTTGAACCATGTACCTTTGAGTTATCAGTGTAATTCCTTACCAATAAGCCAACCAGAGCTCCCTTTAAAGTACAGGAGGATAGCTTAAATTTCAACCAATAGTACACTAATGTCCTTTTCCTCTTGTCACTGGTGACTGATGACTGATTTGCTGCTGATCAACATTTCAAATATTACCTTTTCCATGAAATATCTATACTGTGCTGGTTCTTTTTAATGTTTAAATTGGGTGTATTCTTACTGATTTGTAGAAATTTATTTTCAATCTTAGTGATACTTACCTATACTTCTTACCCGGTTTTTACTTATAACATTTTTAAAAATCAAGGGTTATCTAAATTCTGTGTAATTCAAATTGTACATTTTTTCCTAAATGATACTTTAGTTTTACTTCCTAGGATGCTTAAATATTTTCATAATACTCTTTGGGTGATTAAAATGAGACCGAGTCTTTAGTCATTTCTCCAGTGAAGTAATAAGACTACACCTTAGCTCTAAAAACAGCTGACAGGAATAGAGTTTAAAGACTGATTTGGCAAATGGCTCTTGAAATGATAAGTTTCAGAAATTCATGCCCTGGCCTGTAAGTTTCTTTTCTGTAGAGTCTAGCACTCTAAGCTTTCCTAGCACTTCCTGAAAACATTTTTGCTGAGGCGCAGGGAGGAAGTGCTACTGGTATCTGATGGTTTAAAGGTAGGAGATGCTGCTAAACAAGCTACAATGTACAGGTACCAGTACCCTTTCAAGGAGAAGTATCCAGCTCCAAAGTTCAACAGTGTTGACATGAAGAAACCCTGTTGTAAAAACTGATCAATAAAAAAAAAGATCGATAAAAGATGTGAACAATTATGTCATGATTAATAAGAAATCAAATACACACAGAGTATTAGACGCACAGAAGTGGTTAATGGGAAGGATTTAGTGAAGGTGTGTTGATTTGCGATTTTTACAGAAGCCTGGGAAGAACAGGATATGTTCAGGAACTATAGCAGCTACTGTGCAATGACATGAACATAGTAAGGGCAGGACGTACAGAGAGGCACCTTGAGGACTCCGAAGAGCAACTCAAGTTACGCTCTCTCTCTCTCACTGGTGCAGAGTCAGAACTGACTTACAGGTGACTCTCTAATGGGTTTCCAAGACTGTAAATTGCACAGGAAAACACATGGCCTTTGGTTTCGCAGTGTAATGCCCTAATGACTACACCTCCAGAGCTCAAAACACAGACATCTCAAAGGCTCTAAAGAGCAACTGAAGAAATGAAGTAGAACACATGATCAGATATATTTTAGAAAAAGAAATCACGTGTGAATATGGGGAACAGCTTGAAGAACAAAGTGGAACCAAGATTAACAAGGAGGCTATTGCAACACCACCTATAATCTGAAAATCCACTGGAGGGTTAGTTATGAGTCAGTTCTGGCTCTATGGCACACAACAAAAGACTATCTGAAGAAGAATGTGGAATTTGGACTAGAGAAAAAGACTCAGCAATTGAGAAGGACCTGAAGCACTTGCTGCAGAAGGTCAAGGACTGCAGCCTTCAATATGGATTGAAGCTCAATATCAAGACCACAAAGATTCTCACCACTGGGCAGATTAGCAACATCACAACAGACAGTGAAGACACTGAGATTGTTAACAGCTTTAGTTTACTTGGCTCCACAATCAACATTCTTGGTACCAACAGCCAGGAAATCAAAATAGAAACTGCACTGGGAAAGTATGCTTTAAGAGACCTCTCCAGAGCAACAATGTCTAGAGTCTAAAGTGTGCCTAATCCAGGCCATGGTCTTTTCAATTACTTGCTATGCATCAGAAAGCTAGACAATGACTAGGGATGAGAGAAGAATTGATGCCTCTGAGCTGTGGTGCTGGAGAAGAGTATTGAATATACCATGGACTGCTAGCAGAACAAACAGGTTCATCCTAGAGAGGGTTAAACCAGGCTGCTCCTTGGAGGCAAGGATTCTGAAGCTTTGTCTGACATACTTTGGGCATGCTGCAAGGGACAAGTCCTTGGAGATGGACATCATGTTTGGGAGGGTGGAGGGACAGTGCAAGAGAGGAAGACCTTGGATGTGATGGATTGATTCAGTGACTGGGGTAATGGGGGTAGGTGTGTCAGAGACAATAAGATTGGCATAGGATAGAGCAGAGTTCAGAGCTGTTGTACATAGCATCGCTAAGAGTAGCAAACAACGTGATGGCACATAACAACAACAACTTCCGTTACACAGATGGCATAGCCTTTTGGCAAAAAGTGAAGACCTAAAGCACTTACTGAAGAAGAAGCGGGGTGGGAAGAATAAAACAGTAGATGTGACGCAGTCTTCCAGGTTGACACAAGACAGATGAGATTGTTGGTGCTACTAACCAGGACAGAGAACTATAAGGAGTCAGCTCAGACAGAAAATGTCAATTAATGAGGTCAAGTGCCTGAGCATATTTAAATGAAGATATAATAAAACCAGACCAAATTGGTTGTTATTTAGATTCTGACACATAGCTGCCTACATATTTCAAAGACTGTACTCCATAATGTTTCCAATACTGTGACCTTTCAGAAGTAGACTGCCAGGCCTTTGCTCCAAGACAATTCGGGATGGATTCAAACCACTTTTCATTAATAGCCAACTGCTTACCCATTTATGCCACCTAGGGATTCCTTGAACAGGTAATAGGCACCTGAGTTTAAAGACTAAAGTGAAGAAGCATCAAGGCTAGAAAATAAAGATCTAAGAAAGCAGTGTAAAGAATGTGGCTATGAGGTTACCAGACAAGAGTTCCACTGAAACTATAGGTCACAACTCTCCTGGGGCCATACTGGTTTACAGTAAGAGGAACAGTTAAAAAAAGAAAAAAAAGGAGAAAAAGAAATAGTGATCCCACCGAACTCTTTTTCAAATGCCATCTTTTATAGATATACATATATAAATATTGGTAGGCATATTAGGCTAATGTGTGGTTTCACTTACTGTAAATTAGTATTTTATTAAAGACAAATCATTTCGAGACATGACTGGCTAGTCCTATGAGAAGATTAACAGTGCATTTCATGTAACTTACCTCATTTTTTGTTTTCTCCTTTATCTGTTGTGTTAAGGGTCTCTTATTAGACTGTAGTTTGCCTGCATTGAAATTAATATATAAACCTCCCAGCTCCTTAACACTCAGACCAGGGTCAATGCTGCTGCTTGTCAACTTCAGACTGAAAGAGAAATTGTCATTTAAAGATCAAGTAATTAAATCTTTTTCCTTTCCTTTAACTGCCAATCAGTTAAAGGGGGGGGGGGAATCATCTAATTTTTCAGACGGATTATTGTTGTTATGCGCCACTGAACTGGAATCAGCTCATAGTAGACCCTCTAGCGGTTTTTCAGAGGCAGTAATTCACCTGTGAGGGGACTGCCCATCTTTCTCCCAAGGAACAGATGTTTGGTGGATTCAAACCACCTATGTTAGGGCTGGCAGCATAACTCTAATACCCCAGGGCCAACAGGCTCCCTTTAAAATGGATTAATTACTGAGAAGCATATAGCTTCTTTTGTATAAAATACATTTTAAATATTTTAGTAAAGTTGTTTAGAAGAAACTATTCATCTGAAATAAACAGTAAACAAAAATGCTTCTCAGAAGCAATTCAACTTTAGTCCTGAGATTTTCTTAAAGAGGTACAATATATAGTACGCCATATAGTATGCTAATAGATTTGACTCAAGTTCAGGTGTAGGTAGTAACTTTAGAAAAGTACAGATCCCCAACTCTAAATTTACCCAGACAAATCTTTCTGTTCATAGCTTTCAAGATACTCAAACTCAGGGTGTTCTTCTAAGTAACAAGGGCATCGGATAGTGCCAAGTTGGAGCATTATGAAAACATAAATGTCATACCCTAGATCAATCAAACCAGAATCTTCTGCAGTTGTCTACTGATCTTACATGAGAACTTTACATAATATAATAACTTTATATTATTGAAGGATTCTTTTTAATACCTTCCTTGGTATTAAAAAAAGAGCTTGAGTAGCCTAGTGGTTAAGAAGTAGCATTACCAGCTGAAAGGCTGGCAGTTCAAATTCACCAGCTCCCCCTCAGGACAAAAATGAGCAATCTCCTCCCATGGGATTTAGCTTCTGATAACCCACGCAAAGGTCAGCTATGACCTGGTTCTGACTCAATGGCAATGAGTAAAAGAAATATAAAAAATTTCACTCTTCGTATAGTCTCATTTCCACCTCATTTTTCATTATCCACAGCATAGCTTCAAGTGTAGATAATCAGGTCCTATTAGACATTAAATCATTCTACACAAGTATCTTGGCAGTGATTCTCAAAACTGAATATTAGAATTAACTTGGTTATAAAGTAAATACACTGAAGCATAGCCTTAGAAATTGATTTCACTGCTTTACAGAGGATCAAGGAAGAGAAGACTCTCATGAGATGGACCGCCAGTGACAGCAACTATGAGATCAAGTGCAGTGGAGACTGTGAAGATGGAGCAGGATCAGGCAATTTTCTTCTGTTGAACAGGAGTTTGTTGTTAGGTGCCATCGAGTGGCATACAACTCAAAGCAGCCTATGAACAACAGATCTAAACCCTGTTCTATCCTGTATCATCTTCATCAACTCTGACATACTTGAGCCCACCACTGCAGTCCCTGCATCAATCCATCTCACTGAGGTGGAAGGTCCTTCACTGACCCTCCATTCTCCAAGCATGATGCCCCTGTTCAAGGAATCGATGCAGCCTTTAATTTGCAGTGTTAGGAAGAGTACTGATTATCCCATGGGTTGCAAAAAGAGAATGTGTCTTGGAAAAGTGCAGCCAGTGTGCTCCTTGAAGGCAAGAATGATGAGACTTCATCTCACATTGCTGGCAGAGGCTACTTCCTTGGAACATAAGGTAGCTATGAGCTTTGGAGCTAAATAGGTAGTATTTAACAGCAACAACAATAATGTATCACTTGTTTCAAGGATGCCTATTTACAGTGGATACACTACTACCAGGATCCAGTACTAGGAAAAACAAATTTAAAAGAGATACCCTCAACCATTAGCACTTTAAAAAAAAAATTTGGTGTGTGTGTGTACCATCAAATCAGATCTGACTGGTACAGGAGACTGTCCCTCCTTCTCCAGCAGAGCATCTGGTGGATTTGAACATCTGCACTTTTGAACACATGAACACATTCTGTAATTATAAAGAGATTCATTCCATCATGCTTTGTTGTATTTCTCAGTTTTTCTACAATCAACACACACATAAAAAATATTTTTATGTCGATTTTACCAGTGATGCTATGGTTAGGTGTTTAAATACCACCCAGAAAGGTTGGCAGTTGTAATCTATCAAGGGGGCCTCAAAATAATGTCTTGGAGATTGACTTCTAGGAGATGAGTCAATGAAAACTCTACAACGCAATAATACTGACACACAGGGAGGGAGGGGCGGAAGTCAGATTTAACATGACAACCAGTTTTTTGGCTTCTTTTTCAAATTGTTCTTGACAATAATAAAGACAATTTTGTTATCAGATAGTTTCTATTCTAGAACCAGAACCAGTACTTTGAGGCATTATTGGGGAAAATATACACACACTGGGTAGAATTTGGAAAGGTACATCATACTTGCAAAGGTAGCGGATTAGCAAAAAAAAGGAGAAAACCTCAACAAGATGGAATGACACAAACTGCAGCAATGGGCTCAAGTACGTCAAAGATGAAGAGGAAGGTACAAGATGTAAGAAGAGTTCAGATATGTTGTTCATAGGGTCACTGTGAGTTGTACTCAACTTGATGGCACCTAAAAACAACTGGTAGAATAGCTTGTCTGTTAAGAACCTAAGGGAATAAATTTCTCAATCTCCATTTCTAATATAATAGATTGTTGTTATTGTGTATAGTCAAGTTGGGACCAACTCATAGTTGAACCTCCAGTAGGTTTTCAGAGGCAGTGAATCACAAGGGAGTTGACTGCCCATATTTCTCCCATGGAGCAGCTGGCAGATTTGAACCATATGCCTTTGGGATGACTGTACAATTCCTAAAATATGCATCAAAATTTTATTTTTTAAAATACAGGTAAGACTTACAGTTTAGACTTTGTGTTATTTAGTAAGTCATCTTCATCACTGAGCTCACTGTCTGCATCTCCTTCATGATCTGAGAGTTCACTTTTTTCATCCTCTCCCTCTTCTCTCTCTTTCTCAGCAGCAGCCTCACTAACTTTGTCTTCCTCTTCCAAGTAAAAAATTTTATCAGCAGTCAATCCAGGAGTTTTGTCAATTACAAACAATGCAGTGTCAGGAGACTTACTTCCTGAGTCTCCATTCAGTGACTCTCTTTGATCACTGTTTCCAACAAAACATATTGTGTCTTCTTCATTCTCACTGTTTTCAGACTCCTGGCTTTCATCACTGCTGAGAGCTAATAAGACAGAATCACTTTTAATCTGAGAAGTGTTGTGCTCAGATTCGCATAGTTTGGGATCACATTCAAAACTTACATTATTTTTATGGTCAGTTTCTTCATTGACACATAAAACTGTGCACTCTTCTTCATCAGACTCTGTCAAGTCACTTGGTTTTATGCTGCTCTCTTTCTCTTCACTCAATCTGTCCACTTCCACAACTGCAAATGTTTGAGATAATGATTTCAATACATTCTCATAGCTGGGATTTGAGCATTCTGATGTGGGTTTATCTGGAGTTGAATGCTTTTGAGAAACTACTTGCTGTGGGCTAGAGTCCTGAAACTCAGAGAGACTTTTCAATGGAGGACTTTTATCATTAATTCCCTTTCCCTTACTTACTCTCCCCTTTGGTTCTTTATTTAAATCGTTACAACTCTTCTTTTTATTTCTTGATACAATCTTAAAATCTTTCTCCTCCATTTGTCCCTGTAATTTCCTGTACATACTCCTAGTTGTTCTCCCAACTGCAATTCCTGAAAGTGTAGAAATGTCTGAGCATGATGACTCGGCATCAGAAGTTTCTTCTGCATGTGATTCTTGGCTTGTATCTGTGAGGTATTTAGCTTCCCTTCTTCTGGTTCTTGTTGCTGTTACAGTGGAAGGCACAAAGGGAGAAAAACCTGAAGCATGAGATTCTGCTTCTGAGACAACTTCGTCAGTATAAGACTCACTTACTGACGCTATTTTTGGCCTTTTCCTGGACACTGGGGTGCATGGAACTAAGATCCGTCTTCGCCTTGTTATTCTTATAATGGGATCCTGGGGCTCAGAAACAGACGAATAGTTTGATTCGGCCTCAGAAGTTTCTCCATCAGCAGATGGTTCAATCGTCTCTGACAATAAGCCCTCACTTCTGCTTTTGTTTTTTCTGTTTTTAGGGGTTCTCAGGACTGCACTATGCTCTTGAGTACTATGTGATTCAGCAGTACTTTGTTCATCCAATTCCTTTACATCTTCTGGATGTTCTTTACTCCCACTAGCAGAATTCTGCAAGCAAAAGCAAAAAAAAAAAAAAAAAAAATCTAATTTAGGTAGGCCTGGGACTAGAACAAAGTGAGTGAAGTTCTCTTAAGAAGTGATATCTTAAGAGGTCACTAAGAAATCTGTGATTCAGATAAATATTTCAATACTTTGTTTTCAAGAAGTAAAGATAAACGCAAAAAAAGGTTTCCGATTTTAAAAAAATACTAAAAATAAAGACGCTTCCTTTTCAGGATTCCCTCTCACTCTTCTAGACCTACTACTGGTCTTGACTTTACATTGCTATGTGTTTTCACTCAGAATCGACTCATAGCTAACCCTTCAGCTAGTTTTCAAAGGCTGTAAACCGCAGGGCCAGAGATTGCCTTTCTCCTGCGGAGCAGTTGATGGGATACCAACCACCCACTCCTGGATTGGCAGCACAACTAACTTTTCACCCACTTTGTCACCTTCTGAGGTAAATCAAATAACGCAAAAAAGGACTTTCTCCACTCAAAGTAAATATGCTAGATGGGTTTATGTCCTAAGCCATAGATAAGAGAACAAGTGGACTAATGCTTCTAGGAACACACGGATGATAGATGTCGCTGCCCCTGCCTTCCTAAAGGGAGCAAATCTGGTGATGCTACGTTCCCCTACACTACCTACACACAGAATCGAGACAGCAGGAGACTAACATCACTTAACTCACAGACAGCGTCACTGTGTTTTACCCAAGCCATTAAAAGAAGAAGGCGGGTGGGGAGCCACAGTCCACGGCCATACACCACCCTGAACTCGCCTCTGATCTCGGAAACTAAGCAGGGTCTGGCCTGGTTAGTACTTGGATGGCGGGGAAAAGGTTAAAACTAGCATTTTCATGTGAAAACAGAGGCCTTCTCTCCAATCTCCCATAATACACTCGCACATGGTGGCTGAAATGAATCTTCTGATATGGTGTTAATAGTGAGGTTAAGAGACCCTGGAATATGCCTCCGCATCCGGAGCGGAATGACCCAAAGTTACTGACTTAAACTGTTTCATGGGAAGTATTGCTTGCAGAATGTAGTGAGGATGAAACGAGACACTGCAGCTCTGTACAGCATTTGATACACTGCCGCGCGAGGCAAGCTCGGGCTTCCTCACCAGATGACCTCACCTTCCTAGAAGGCGCAATCATATTCCCCTAATCGGCTCGACGAAGCGGCAAAAAACAATTGCGATCTCTTACCTTCTGCGGAAATCTTTCATCTGACGTGGCCTGCATTGCGGCCAGAGGCCTCGCCGACCTAGTGCGAACCATCATCTTGGCTGCCGGCTTTCCAGCAGCCACCTGGGTTAACCACGTTTCCGGCGCTACAGAAATACGTCAGAGAAACGCGACGCTTTAATCCCGACTCCCCAACCCTAATCCGGGTCTCGCGAGAGTTCGTAGCCTGGGAGCCGTGTTTTCTCTGCGGAGTATGAGTAGGGGTGGTTTGAGATAGAATCCGAAAGGTTAGAGATTCCGGCTTTATAGAAAATTAAAACGCCTTTTGCCAAAACAGGCCTACGGGAGTCCTAAATTCCACAGGGATGAACTGGAAAATGGCACATTGTCTTTTATTTTGTTCTGCATCAGTTTTCGTATTTGTTTAGTAATTCTGAAGATTTTCATGCGTCCATGGGTTTGCCTTCAATATGGATTGAATTGCAACGTTAACAAAACAAAAGTTCTCACTTCTGACCCATAGGCGACATCCTGATAGATGGAGAAAAGATTGAAACTGTCAACGATTTCCTTTTACTTAAGTCCACAACCAACACCCTTGGTACTGGCAGGCAGGAGATAAGGAGATGTGTGCACGGGGGAAATCTGTAGTCAAGGACCTGTCCAAATTACTGAGGAGCAATGATGTTAGTGTGAGGACTAAGGTGCACCTGACTCAAACCATGGTCTTTTTAATCACTTGATATGTATCTGAGAGCTGAACAATTAATGATTAATGGTAACAGAAGGAAAATTTATGCCTTAGAACTATAATCCTAGAGAAGAGTACAGAATATGCCGTGGACTGCTAAAAGAACAAACATATCTTGGAGACTATGTAGCCAGAGTGCTTCATGGAGGCAGGCATGGCGAAGCTTCATTTCACATTCTTTGGCCAAATTGCCAAGAAAGGCTATTCTTTGGTGGGCATCATGCTTGGAAAGGTGAGGGAACTGTGAAGGAGAGGTAGACCACCAATCAGATCAATTGATAACAGTGACTACAGCAATGGGCTCAAGTATGTTGGAAGTTGTGAGAATGGCAAAGGATGAATCTCTTAGAACTCTGCTCTAACTTGAGCCAATTTAATATTCTTTGACACACCTACCCCCATTACCTCAGTCACTGAGTCAATCTATCTTATGCAGGGTCTTCCTTTTTTGCGCTGTCCCTCCACTCTTCCAAGCATGATGTCCTTATCCAAGGACTAGTCCCTCCTGGCAACATGCACCAAATTATATGAGATGGAGTTTTAAAATTTTTGCCTCCAAAGAGCAACTTGGTTTCACTCTCTGCGGGACAGATCTGTTTTTTCTCTTGGCAGTCCATGACATGTCCAATAATTATTTCCAGCACCACAACTTAAAGGTATAAATTCTTCATCATCCTTAACCATTGACAAGCTCTCTGATGCAAAGCAAGTAAATATAAAAACCAAAGACTGACATTGTTGCTCTTTAGCACTATGGAGAGGTCCTTGACAGCAGATTTTCCCAATGCAACTCAGCTTTTTGTTTCCTTACTGCTGGTGCCAAGAGTGTTGACCCAAGCAAGCTACAATTGTTAATACTCTCAATATTTTCTCCATCTATCATGGTGCTGCCAATTGACCCAGTGATGAGAATCTTTATTTTCTTGATATTGAGCTGCAATCCATATTGGAAATGGCAGTCTTTGAATTTCTAGAGGAAACTCTTCTAGTCCTTCTCAGCTTTGGGTAGCAAGGTAATGTCATCTGCATTGTTCCTCCAATAAATTTCTCCTCATAAAGTACAGCCTCCCTAAAGATGTGTTCTGCATATGGATTGAAAAGGTATGGAGAAAGGATACATCACTGAGGCATTCCTTTATTGACTTTGAACCATGCAGCATTTTGTTGCTCTGATGACTGCTTAGCTAAGTATAGGTTTTGCATGAGCACAATACTGAGATACCTAGTTTTCTCAAGGTTAGGCACAATTTATTGTGATCCACACAGTAAGATATCTTCGCATAGTCAATAAAACACAAATAGACATTCTTCTGGTACTCTGCTTTCAGCCAAAATCCATCTGAAATGGGTAATGATGTCCCTAGTGCCAAGGGCTACTCTAAATTCAGCTTGCATTCCTGGTAGTTCTCTTGTTAATATACTGTTGCAGTCATTTTTGGATAGTGCTCAGCAGGATTTTGCTTGTGTGCAATATTATTTGATAATTTCCACATTCTGTTAGATCACCTTTTTTCGAATGGGTGATCCAGTTAGCTGGACAGATGGTTGTCCTCCAGATTTCTTGGCACAACTTGTTTAGCAAATCCAGGTCAGCATCTGTTTGTTGAAATATGTTAGTTGGTATTCCATCAATTCCTGGGGACTTGTTTTTTTGCCAATTCCTTCAGAGCAGCCTTGATCATATGTTGTTAGATTCATCAAGTTGAAAATGAGTATTATAACTCTTCTCCAACAACTTAAAAGCACCGATTCTTCACCCTGTCATCCTTATCTACCAGCCAAATTTCAGATGTATAGCAAGTAATTGGAAAGATCATGGCTTGACTCAAGTGTACCTTAGTCTTTAAAGTTATATTGTTAGTCCTTAGCACCTTGGAAAAGTCCCCAACAGCAGATTTTCCAAATGCAGCATATTTCTTGATTTCTTGACTACTACTGGTACCAAAGGTGTTGATTGTGGATTCAAACACTATGAAATTGTTGACAACTTCAATCTTTTCTCCATCTATAACAATGTTGCCTATTGACCCAGTAGTATTTTTGTTTTCTTGATGTTGAGATGTAACCCATATTAAAGGCTGTTGTCTTTGATCTTCTGCAACAATCAAGTCCTCTTCACTTTTAGCATGCAGGGTCAACCGCATAACCCAAGTTGTTGATGAGTCTTCCTCAGATCCTGACTCCACATTCTTCTTCATAAAATCCATAATCTTGAATGATTTGCTTAGTATACAGTTTCAATGTTTGGAAAATTAGTACTGGGAGACATTAGGAAACTATGCAGTCTAAAGGTGAGAAGATGATTACAGATTGGGAGTAAGAATGAAGGAAGGCATTGCAAAGGACACACATGAGTAAAAAGACTGAACATCTAAGTAAACAGACTTTCTTAATTTCAAGCTGCAGGTGAGAAAAGATAAGTACTTCCCAGATCTCCTACATTTTTAATTAACAAAAAAAATTTTATTCCTTCTTACATATTTTTTGGGTGACAGCACATGGCCATCACCCCCACCCCATCTATCAGTTTGTCAAACTGTGGTAGCTTACGAAGGTGGAACTATACCACCAATATTTCAAATACTTACAGGATTCCCCCTTGGTAGATACACTTGAGTGAAGCTTATAGATTAGGAAGAAAGACTTGACAGTCTACTTTTGAAAATAATTGTTGTTGTTATGTGCCATCAAGTCACTTGCGACTCATAGCGACCCTATGTACAACAGCCCTAAACTCTGCTCTGTCCTGTGCCAATCACACTGTCTCTGACACTCTCATCCCAATTACCCCAGTCACTGAATCAATCCACCTCATAGAGGGCCTTCCCCTCCTGCGTTGTCCCTCCACCCTCCCAAACATGATGTCCTTTTCCAAGGACCTGTCTCTCCTCACAACATGTACCTTTTGAAAATTAGCCAATGAAAAATCTTAGGGCTTGCAGTAGAATACTGACTCATACAGTGCTGGAATATGAGTCCCTACGTTGGAAGGCACTCAAAATACAACACTGAAAAAAAAAATACAACACTGGTCACAATGATGGACTTAACGATTGTGGAGAAGGTGAAAGAGTCTAGTCTTTATCATTTCATTCTGTTATACAAGAGTGGGTGCATACTCAATAAAGCTAGCAACAACACTACCCTCCAGCTAAATAGCTCCTTCCATCACCTCTTGCTGCCAGATGTACCTAAGTCACTAGGTTTTGGGCAATTACATTTAAATATTGTGAAAATATTCTGGGCGCTCTGGTGGCTAGGCCTGTAGGGAGTTGTGCTACAAACCCAAAGGCTGCACCTTTCTTGTGGTTTGAACCCATTAGCAACTCTGTGGGGAAGACAGGCAATCTCCTCACATTCCATTTACAGCCTCAGCAACTCAGCAGAGGGTCAGTTGTATCCACAATGAGTTTTTGAGTTGGTGTATAGAAGCTCTGGGAGCTTAGTGGAAGCATTTGCACTGCGAACCCACAGGCAAATCTGCCAGACACTCTTCAGGAGAAAGCTGGGCAATCTCCTCCTATGCGTTGCCTTTGAGAACCTGCTGAAGGGTCAGCTATGAGTCAGTTCCGACTTGATGGTAACAACAACGTTATTCAGGGGAATCTACTGAAGAGAGAGGTGATCTTCTTGCCACCATTTTAAACTTCATTTCACTCCCAGAAAATTGTTTGCTCTTTGTTGTTATGTGCCGTTAAGTCACTTGCAACTCATAGCAACCCTATGTACAACAGCCCTGAATCCTCCTCTGTCCTGTGCCAACTTTACTGTCTCTGATACACTTATCCTCATCACTGAATTAATCCATCTCATTGATGGTCTTCCTATCTTTCTCTGTCCCTCCACCCTTCCAAGTATGATATCATTCTCAAGGACCAGTCCCTCCTTGAAACATGCCCAAAGAATGTCAGACAAAGCCTCAGAATCCTTGCCTCTAATGAGCAGGCTGGCCTCACTCTCTCTAGGATGAACCTGTTTGTTCTAGCAGTCCATGGAATATTCAAGCCTCCTCTCCAGCACCACAGCCCAAAGGCATCAACTTTCTAACATCCCTAGTCATTGTCCAGCTCTCTGACACATAAGACGCAATTGTGAAGACTATGGCGCACCTTCGTCTCCAGACTGATGTCATTGTTCTTCAGTACTCTGGAGATGTCCCTGACAGCTGAGTATCTTTTTAAAACTTACTTTATTTTCATTCTTCTTATTATTATTATTCATTTTAATGAACGTTTACAGAGACTTTGGATTTCCATTCATTTATTGTTGCCTATCTTTTTAAAAGCCACTGTTACTTAATAAAGTAGCCTCAGTAGTGCAGTGCTTAAGCACTTCAGCTATT